ACCATAGATAAACCACTGTGACTTTCAGCATTTGACATCATGTTCCTTAAGAGAAAGAGTTTTAAACGTCTTTGTGAAAAGAAAGATTTTCTAGAGGTCGATGGAAAATTACTCTGGATGCCAAAAAGTTCAGGTAGAAATACTCACCTTTTTACACAAGTAGATAGTTCTAAGTGTCCTCTTTCAGAATAAGAACCCTCCGACTTCTTTATTCTCTGTAGTTTTGGACTTAGTATCGAGTTTCGTACGAACCATGTGGCTGGTGTGAGGTCATATGTGGGAATCTCAGAAACAACTGAATCATAGATTAACCGATGCCTTGAGTCTTATGACTATGTTTGTTTTTTGAAAGTAATTCAAAAACATGTTTTAAAGTTTATAATCGAAGCAGACATGATCATGAGAATACATGAAAGAGGACACTTGGAATTATCTGCTTATGTAAAAGAAAAGAATGAACGTTTCTTCCTGAAGTTTTGGATACTCAAGGTAATTTTCCATAGGTCTTCAGAAAATCTTCGTTTTGAGAAATACATTTAAAAATCTTCCTCTTAAGGAAAACTTATATCGAATGGTGAAAAATGGAAAATTTCTTTTCTAAAACATAGTTTCGGTTCATCTCAACTGTTAAAAAAGCTCGTATGCAGTTGGGTAATAGTAACACAGGCAGACCCCTACAGACAGCCAACAAACATTCACAGACACGCTACACGAACAGCCGTATTACAGACACTCAAAAGATGACACCCAGAGCCGTGACACATATTTCACCCACCCAAGTATTCCATTATCATACACTGCATACTGCTGATCTGCAAAGCCAGAGAAAATCATAAAAGAGAATTTTTAAAGATTTGGTTACTTTTCAATTTGATGCAATAGCTGATATAAAGACTTGAATAAAAAATGAGTTGAATACTTCAGCATTGTGTTTCGATCGAAATCATTCTGTTAAAGGGTCAAAAATAAGAATAAGAATTCAGTTACTGCGTAGACGACTTTACAGCACGGAAGAAAATCATGAGATCTGAAAAAAACAAGAGGAAGACAAAACTATTGTCGCAATTGGAAGAAAGCAGCTTCTGGAATAATAAAACAAGACGAAGATATAACCAAAATACAAAGTGACTGATTTATTCTGAAGGAACTGTTAGCTTTTGTTGCTATCAGTCACATATATCGATTTCCACGCGTCGAACAGACATGTCCAACTAATTGTTTTATTTAGTTTTGATGCAGCATAATGAAGCGCGAGTATCGGAATAGTCCATCAATTTTTAATGTAATATTAATTTTCTTAATTTTATATTTTTAATGTAGTAATAAATTAGTATTATAATAAATCATAACAAACAACAAATTTCAAAGAAAAAACATTCGAAAAAGAACAGATCAGAAATAGAAAAAGGATAATACTTCATGTTGTCTTCATTTTCCTTGTTGACTTGGACAGTTTTCTTGTTGACCTGACCAGTTGCCTTGCTGACTTGGCCAGTTGCCTTGCTGACTTGGCCAGTTGCCTTGCTGACTTGGCCAGTTCCCTTGTTGATTTGGCCAGTTTCCTTGTTGATTTGGCCAGTTGCCTTGTTGACTTGGCCAGTTCCCTTGTTGATTTGGCCAGTTTCCTTGTTGACTTGGCCAGTTTCCTTGTTGACTTGGCCAGTATCCTTGTTGACTTGGCCAGTTCCCTTGTTGACTTGGCCAGTTCCCTTGTTGATTTGGCCAGTTCCCTTGTTGACTTGGCCAGTTCCCTCGTTGACTTGGCCAGTTTCCTTGTTCACTTGGCCAGTTTGCTCGTTGACGTGACCACGTGCCTTTTTGACTTGGCCAGCTTTCTTGTTGGCTGTACGAGTTTGACTGTGGAGCAATGTTTCTAAACAGAAAACAATAATTTTTCTATTAACCAGTTGTCAAAATCTATTTTCGAACTTACATTACACCGCTATTCCCCATCTGATACTCTTGATACAACTAGAAAAAAGAAATACCTTAATCTAAATAAAATGATCTATATATATACAAAATCTTTGATTGAACAAAATCTAGAATATAGTATATGTATTGCAGAAAATGGAAACCGCATGACCTTCCAGTCCTAAATTTGCTTCTTTTCCTTTATTTGCCATTTTCTAGAATTCATTCAGACTGTTACATCTAGCACAACTGTGGTGTTACAAATGTGGTGAAATCCGAGTTTTATGAAAACTAGGGATCCGTCAATCTTTCTACCTTTAGTTAGAAAACTCATACCTAAAGAAACATCGGTAAATAGGATATGAATTGGCATACACACTGTACATCCTCAAATTTCGAACTTGGTCTGTTGTTCAAGTTAGCTATGAATTTTTAACCTTGAGTGGAAACATCGTGCAAATCTTGGTTTCATAAATCTCAGTTTTCACCACATTTCTGAATTTTTTCGAAAATAATCGCTGGCAGTAGTGACAGCATGATCGATCAGGTAAGTTCAAATGCGAGTTCGAACTTACATCAGGTCAACGAGTATCAGGCCTGGAGTCCAAGCACATCAGATACGACGCCATAAGCACTGAAAATCAGGGGCTTGCTGCTATGTCATGTATTCATGAAAAAAATCGAACACATTTCTATGATAACTTTTCTAGCTGTAAACAGATTTTCTAAACTCTTTTTCAAAAACTCTGCTTCGGAGACAGGTTTTTTGAACCTTATTGTCCTATGAAAAGTTGCACCAAAGGCATGGCTCCAAAATGCTACAAATTCGAACTTCTACTCCTTTTTGTCCTCGAAATATCTAGAAAGCGGTGGACGACATAACGTCTCACTATATAACTTACTCTCATCATACGCAGTGGACTACCGTGGCGCTTATTCTATAGAAGAACCAACTTACTGATGTTTATATTTTGGAAGAAAGCTATTCTGAACACTTTATCCTGTTGACACCGCTATTTATTTCTAGACAGAAAGAGATAGAAGAACAGACTAATTTGAACATCGCAAAAAGTGTTGGAAGAAAAAGAAGTTAACGACTGAAATAATTTTTTCATCCAACATTAGATAGTCATCGTCTAGAATATATGAACATTTCTCTTGTTTATCCGTCTGTCGTCATTACTTTTAGTGAGAAAACCAATGAATGTTCATCGTGGTTTATCTGCAATATCCTTTCCTTCTCTCCTTGTAGAATGATCAATTGTTTTATTCAACTTTTTCCAGATCATAAAACTTAGAGCAGTCTGACATTCGAACGTGTTGAAAGCTAATGGAGTGAAATATACCTAAGGAGTAGTCTGTTAAATTTAGACAACCGCCTTTTAGTTTCGAAAAAATAAGAGCGAGATACATAAAAAGAAAGAGAAATGTCAGATTATTAATCATTGATAGAAAGAGGCGCTTCTAGGCGCTGCACCGTTTAAAAGGTACAGAAAACGACAAGTTTTTGAAAATATAAATAATACTTTTGGAAATAATAACAATAATTTAGATTGATACGGGGAAAATAATAAATACACATGTATGACAAAAAGGAAGAAGAAACTATATCTCAATGGTTTGTTGAGCAAGCTGGATATGTGATCGAATAACACGCCTCGTTGAAATAGAATGAATCTCTTACCAAAAGTTCAGTAAACAAGAAAATAATGAACCTGCTCGCTAATTATTATTGAACTCATCGTCCTCACTATCATACATAAACCTGTATTATATTACAGTCGAGCGAAATAAGTCGTTCGTTTGTTTTCCCGCGTTTCTTTCTTTTGCATTGTTCTTTCATTACGTAGGTTCACAACAACCAGCTGATTTGATAGAAGAAAACAGAAAATATTTCTGAGAGAGTGAAAAATAGAAAAGAGAAATCAATGTTGACATATATCTCGACACTAAATTTTTGAAGTTTCGTGTTTTTCTCAGTTAATTTTAAGATTCAGTAAAACTTTTTGCATAGAAGAGAATTGATTGAATTTCAGCCGTTTAGTTAATAAATGGAAGTATGGTGATAGTCAAATAGCACTATTTGGAAAAGACCTAAACTCTAAAGCATTTTCTTTGTCATTGTCATCAGTTTGCTTAATAATGCTTTCCAAATAGTGCTATTCCGCTATCACCATACTTTCGTTTATTAAATAATTAATTCATTTATTAAATGAACGGCTTAAATTCAACCTATTCTCTTCTGTGAGAAAACCAGTTTACAAAATTTTATGCGAAAGTGCACGATCAACTTTATCGTTGTTAGTTTAGCTTTTTATCAGCTTTTGTTCTGAATATATGAAACGTTTTTTGGTCCGAGAGTGTATGATAATTTTTACTTTTGAGTAGTATCCACATCTTTTTTTCTAAAAGTGTATTGAAACGTCATGTATTTCAGTGTAAATGAAGATATAATTTCGACACGCATATACGTTTATTCTTCATTGAAGAAGACTGTGAAAGCATGTGCTCTTTTCAGAAAGATATATATCGTTCGATTCGCCGTAGTCTTCTGAGTATTCCTGTATAAAATTGAGATTTTTGGCATCCAGAGTAATTTTCCATCGACCTCTAGAAAATCTTTCTTTTCACAAAGACGTTTAAAACTCTTTCTCTTAAGGAACATGATGTCAAATGCTGAAAGTCACAGTGGTTTATCTATGGT